TCTCTCCCGTTTTTCTATTTTTTTTCCCTGTTGTCGAGACAGAAGTGTCATGGATCGTTGATATCATTCGGACAACCCGCTTGTCTTTCCATGCTAGGAGAAGAATATCGCCTTTTCTGGAAAATATTATGTCACCTTTCTTCATTCTTGATGTTTTCATTTTCAAATTTGGGGGTAAACCTCTACTCTCCCTAATAGTCCCGCAGACTCTAGTTTTGTTCTGTAGCAGCAATTCAGCAGTAGATGTAGCATTGTAATAATTATCCTGGTAAATATGGTGCCATATGCCAAGATAGGGTCCAAGGACTGAAAGAACAGTTTCTGGCAATTTCCTTCCTTCAGCAGTGTATATCTCCATACTGCAGATATAGCCGGTGTCACTCTCGCACACCATCCGAACAAGTAAACCGTATTTTGTTATTTTCGCTGGGTTGTACGTGCGAAATTTTAAACGTCCTCTCCATGGAATCATTCCCTTGTCCAAAAACAACTGTTGCTCTGGTTTGTATATTGTTCGAAATTTATGCAGGAAATAATCCAGCACAGGTTGAATCTTGAAAAGTCTCCCCGATGCCCTGACCGGTTTGGCTCAGTGGATAGAGCATCGGCCTGCAGACTGAAGGGTCCCAGGTTCAATTCCGGTCAAGGGCATGTACCTTGGTTGCGGGCACATCCCCAGTGGGGAGTGTGCAAGAGGCAGCTGATCGATGTTTCTTACTCATCGATGTTTCTAACTCTCTATCCCTCTCCCTTCCTCTTTGTAAAAAATCAATAAAATATATTAAAAAAAAAAGTCTCCCCTAGCGACTGTCCATTTTGGCGTTATCATTGAAATGCCAGAATGTCCATATTTGCTCAAATCTATGGCGACTCATTGTCTGTGGAAATATAGGGGTACATATCAAAGGATCTGTTGACCAATAGTCTTTCAAGCTATCTTTTCTTGTTTGACCCATCAGAATAATTAGGCCAAGGAATTTCTTGATGTCCTTCTGTGTAACCGGAGACCATTTTAGTGTTCTAGATGGTGTTTTGCGTTTCATTGCGGTTTGATCATGATAGTCGGACAGCTCTTTGCACAACATCTCAAACAATTCATCACCAAAAAAGAGATTGGTCACAGAGGGTACAGAGTCACACTGAGACGGAAATGTAGTGACCCCAGCATGACCTTCAAACATTTGTAAGGTGGTGGTGTGTCAATTTCAGACCAACAATTATCAGTAGCTTCGTCAGTATTGAAAGCACTGCCACCTTGCACTTCCTTACAGGTCTAATAATTTCACTGTCAGTAGAATCAGTAGAATCGTCTCCGGAATCGTCCAAACAGTCATCCGCATCTTCGATCTCACTAGGACTATCTGATAAATTATCGTTACACCTCCGGAAGTGTATCAGTTTCGTTGGTTTCCTTCCTTTTTCTGAGAGAGGGCATTTCTAAAAGCGCCAGGAACTTGAAGACAAAGACTATTCAAATGACCAAAATACAATGTAACTGCAATGCTTTATGGGTTCGTGCAATTATATAGTTTTTCGTAGATTGACCTGCACGGTTTCCACCAATGAGATCTCTTCATTCGATGTGGACTGTGCCACGCCAGCACGGCCAAGGGTGTCTCTGAGTGGGGGGGGCGGGGGTGAAAGGATTAAGGAAAGACAGACAAGAGAATAATAGCTGGGTCTCGGTGGGACGCTGCTCCCTGAAGAGGAGACAGCGCCAGTGCCCACAAGCCGTGTCTTTATTTTATAGCAGATGCCACGAGGCAAAGTAGGGGCGTGATCCCGTTGTTTACAGCATTCTCGTGAGTTTCATCCCCACTCAACTACATGCACCTAAACTCTATCACAAGGCACGTGGGGCCACGTGTTCGGACCATATGTTCAAGCTTACAACCACAGCCCTTGGCTATCTATGATTGTGCTGGGAGGTCCCTGCCCTCCAGCTGGGACTTGCACGTGGCAGTGAGAGGACCCTGTCCTTTCATTAGTCCGAGGCTTGAACCTGGCCAAAACACCGTAACTGCGCCCCACAGTGGACAAGACAGTGTGTTGACATCTAAGGTCCTTAACAGCACGCGAAACATGAGAAAACGCGTGAGCGGTCCTTAACAGATGGCGCACGGAACACGCGAAAACTCGTGAGCGGTCCTTAACAGATGGGGCACGAAACACGCGAAAACTCGTGAGCGGTCCTTAACAGATGGGGCACGAAACACGCGAAAACTCGTGAGCGGTCCTTAACAGATGGGGCACGAAACACGCGAAAACTCGTGAGCGGTAAGCAATGTGTTAAGCAAAACATCTCTTTCAAAAATTGTTATTGGAACTTTTGGTCACTAGAGGGTGCTGGTGACCAAAATTCAGAAATTCATACTTTTTCTGCTCTAACATCAGAAAGTACCAAACAGGCACCTAGCTGGTAACTATGTTGTGGGTCTGGGCATAGACTCAGGTTGCAGGTTCAGTCCCTGGTTGGTTCCCAAAGTGAGAAAAAGAAGCGGCCTATGGATGTTTCTCTTACAGATGTTTCTGTCTCTCGCGCTCTCTCTCTCAAATCAATTTTTTAAAAAGATACCAAACAATCCAACTGCCAGTGTCCTATTTGTGTGAATCCTCAGATCCCCCAAATCACTGTTGCAATGTGAATAGCTACAAAACAGACAAAAATAGAATGAAGGAAAACACTGAAAGAAGGAAAGTGTTACATAAGAGATCTAATGGTGCATTAGTGTGGAGTTGAGTAAAGGTGTTAACATTAATTCTTGGATACTATATGGACTGATGCTTGTTCCTATTATGTGAAGTCCAATTGGCTACAGCATGCATTGCAATGGAGAAATTTTTTTTTAAAGTTAGGATTTCACATTTTTATTTTTATATTTTTAAAGAACTTTAGATTTTATTTTTCAGTTACAGTTTTCAATATTATTTTGTAATAGTTTCAGGTGTACAGCATAGTGGTTAGACAATCATATACTTTACAAAGTATTTCCTCTAATATTTCTAATACATAGTTATTGCAATATTATTGACTATATTTCCTATGCTGTACCTTACATCCCTGCGATTATTTTTTAACCATCAATTTGTAAAGGGATTGTACTTCTAATTTCTCTATCTCTTTCACCCAGCCCCCCAACTTCCCTTCCCTCTGACACCATCAGTCTATTCTCTGTGACTATAAGTCTTTTTCAATTTTGTTTGTTCGTTGAGAAAGTAAAATTTTAAAGAAGTCTCATTCATAAATAAAGTGAGAATAATTCAGCTTTGCTTTCTTAGCTCTATAAATCATGAAAAGGTCTTACATTTTTAAGATATATAATTAAAATAAAAATTTATTGCTGAAAATTAAATTTAATGTGTATTTTCTTTGGATGAAGTGTATATCTAAGAATGCCATCAAATATTTTACTTTTCAAATGACATTCTAGAAAAATACTTTCTCATTTTGGGGGTTAAGAATAATCCAAACTAGTAAGACAAAAGTTTAGTGACTATTTAAAAGGCAAACCACTTCACTATTTTATCCTTGCTATTGTTCTCGTTAGAAATGTGACATTTAAAAAAAATAAAATTGAAAAGTGTAAGAAATTTTTCATATGGTAGCAAATCACAAATGAAATTAGTAATGGGATTAATTCATGTTAAAATGGCATTTAAGTTACATTTTGGCTTTTCTCCTTTAAAAAATATAGCATCTTATAAAGATATTTTTTTTCAAACTCTCAGAATGAAAATAGTACAGAAAGAATGCAGGAGAACATATTCCATTCTCATCATCTACCACTCATCTACATTCTCCAAGGATACCAACTAGAAAAGACAAACTGATATGACCAACTCTAAAAGTCTTATCTGAAGTCTGAATCATGGTCTTCATAGTTCTGATTAGGTCTAAGGTCTTAAATATGAAGAAAAATGAAGTTTGAACATAATTTTTACAATCTTTTCATGGAGAAACATAAAAAAGCCCTTTCTAGATTTGGCAACAACTGGTCTTAACATTGATTTTCATCTGCTGAGAGGGTTGATGGTATCCATGTGAAGAGCTCTGTGCTATGAGAAGAGACGGGAATGGCTGAAAGACCCTGGGCATATATTTTAACTTTATGGAGCCTCAGTTACCTCACCATAAAAGGGAGTAATAATAATAGCAAGAGGACCTTGGAGGATCTCTGATAAAATGAGAAAATACTTGTGAAAACGAAATATTGTCGTAATAAAACACTAGGCAATTATGCCCATTTCACTAAAGGCGAAGGCCTTCCTAACATCTAAATACCGTTTCCAGTCTTCATTTGAAGAATGGTTGGAGGCTTTGTGAGAGCATGCCTCCCTCCTGCGCCCCCACCCCCATTTCCCACAGCTAGCAGCAGTTGACTGCGGGATCTCAGGTATGCAAGAGGAGGCCACCCGCCTCTAGCCACTTTGGCTGACTTTTATCTGACTTGTTTATAAGGGGAGGTGGAATTTAGTTGGGAGGTGGGAGGTGGGAGCTCCGATATCTTCATTCGACCATCAGATTTTATTTTGTTTCCTTGAACCTAGCTCCTTGAGTCCCAAGGCACTTCTAGTTTTAGAAGTTTCAGTGCACCCCAGGGGGACAGAGCAGCCTGGCCTGCTCGCGATCATTCCAGAGTCCTGAAGTAGGAAGGAAAAAAGTTCACACTCAGCTTTGCAAAGGAGTGTGGTTTGCCTAGAATACTTTGGGACAGGTGAGTTAGACCTGCCAGGGATACAAGAGATCTTCAGGGGGAGGATCCAGTCCCTGTGGGTGGAGAAGGAGGGCGGGCGCTTTCGGCGCGCTTTGGCAACTAGCCTGGGGCTGGGAAGCCCAGCAAGACATTTTAGCCCCCTCCACTCCGGACGCTCCTCTGGCAGAGACAGGAGGAATCGCAGCGCGGGCAGGGCGTCCGGTCCGGCCAGAAGCCGGGCGTTTCGACAGGACCCCGCCCCCCTCCCCCCTTGGAGGTTTTGTTTTCCCGTCTCACGCGGCCAGGGTCGCGCTCACTCCGCAGCGGAGAGCCGCGCTCAGTGGCTTGTCCCTGCTCCTCCCACCGCACTTAAGCCCACACCCACGGGCGCCCCGCCCCCCTCATCCTTATAGAAGGGGCGAGGCACCCCGGCGCGCCCGGGAGCTACAGGCTTCCCGGAGCCGACGGCGCGGCTGCCAGCTTGGCCAGAAAGCCCAGGCGCCGCCGCGGCCAATGTAGCCAAGTGAGGCGGCGGCTGCGCCCGCACCATGGAAGGCAGCCCCACCCCGGCACCAGCCCGGGTCGCTCCAGACCTCCGCCGCCTCCCGCGCCACGCCTGCCAGCAACCGCTGCTTTTCTCTGGGCGCCGTCCTACCCTCACCTCGAAGCCGACATGAAGGGAGCCCGGGGCGACGGGAGCGCCCCTTTCTGCACCCGCCTCAACCACTCCTTCCCGGGCATGTGGGCGCCCGAGCGCTCCCAGGAAGCGCGGGGCAACCTCACGCGCTCCCCGGAGACCGGCGAGGACTGCCGCTCGGTGTCCGTGGTGTACCCGATTACCATGCTGATCACCGGCTTCGTGGGCAACGCGCTGGCCATGCTGCTGGTGTCGCGGAGCTACCGGCGCCGGGAGAGCAAGCGCAAGAAGTCGTTCCTGCTGTGCATCGGCTGGCTGGCGCTCACGGACATGGTGGGGCAGCTGCTCACCAGCCCCGTGGTCATCGTCGTGTACCTGTCCAAGCAGCGCTGGGAGCACCTGGACCCTTCGGGGAGGCTGTGCACTTTCTTTGGTCTGACCATGACCGTCTTTGGCCTCTCGTCGCTCTTCGTCGCGAGCGCTATGGCCATCGAGCGGGCGCTGGCCATCCGGGCGCCGCACTGGTACGCGAGCCACTTGAAGACGCGCGCCACCCGCTGGGTGCTGCTCGGCGTGTGGCTGGCGGTGCTCGCCTTCGCCCTGTTGCCCGTGCTGGGCGTGGGCCATTACACCGTCCAGTGGCCCGGGACGTGGTGCTTCATTAGCACCGGGGGAGGCGGCAACGGGACTAGCTCCCCGCACAACTGGGGCAACCTCTTCTTCGCCTCCACCTTTGCCTTCCTGGGGCTCTCTGCGCTGGCCATCACCTTCGCCTGCAACCTGGCCACCATTCAGGCCTTGGTATCCCGCTGCCGGGCCAAGGCCATGGCATCGCAGTCCAGCGCCCAGTGGGGTAGGATCACCACGGAGACGGCCATCCAGCTCATGGGGATCATGTGCGTGCTGTCGGTCTGTTGGTCACCATTGCTGGTAGGTAGTTCCAGGGCGTGCAGAAGTCTGGGTGGGGCGTCTGCAGACAAGGGAGACGTCTCCAAGTGACAGCACCTGCAGAGGTGTGTTTGCATCTAGAGAACATTGGGGAGACCTTTCTGCCCGTGCTTTCTTGGTTGCAGCTTCATAGTTGAGTTCCTCACTTACTTGCTGAGCGCCTTCAAAGTCCCATACATGGCATTAGGTTGTGGTTGTACACACGTGGAGACCACACGGGCGCTCACACTTTGATCGGAGAGAGTAAGAGGATACCCGGGTCTGAGTTCAGTGCGTGTGCAGAGGTGAAGTTTTCTCCTGGGTGCATTATAAACAGAATGGCAATGACAGCTGAAGCCTGTGGCTCTGGGCTTTCCCCTTCTTTCAAATACCTCTTGCAAGTTGAAGCGATTATCAGTCTGCAAAAGTCCTCTCTACCTGCGACCCCAGGCAGGCACAGCTCTTGCAGCTTTGGAGCCTCTGAGCGCTCTCTCAGCCCAGCCCGCACTACCCGGCCTAATAGGCTCACTTGAGATTAGAGGCAGGAGAGTGAAGGGCCCGCTGGCTGCAGCCAGCCCCAGCCCTTCGGAATGGTGCTGGCCCTCCTGGAAGTGCTTGAACTGTCAGTGAGTCAGGGGGCCCGAAGGCCTTGGAACTCCTGCCACCAGCCTTTGCTTGCCCTGTTGGCAACTATTCAGGACTGGGAGTAAGGCCAATCCTGGGGTAGGAGGTAGAGGTTTCTGCGCTTCCCAGCTCCGCACAGGGGCGCACAGTTTGGGAGCAAATGATGTTGCCACAGGCTCCTTGTCTAATAGCCACTCTTACATCATACTTTCCTCTATGTTACTTTTAGCTGGAGATTTCTGTGGGTAAGTGCTGTTTACGAATTCCTGGTGAATGGAGGATTATTGAGGCCTCAAGCAGACTGGCTTAATAGGAGCTATGTTGCAGAAAGAGCCACCTGGCAGAGTTTTCACAAATTTTATACTGGACCTGGAAACTTATTAGACAGTTGTGAGAAACTTCTGAAACCCATGGATATAGTTTTCAGAACCCACACACATGTAGTTTTTCCTTTTCAATTGTGGTAAAATATATTTTAAATTGTGGTAAAATTTACATTTTAAGTGTCCAGTTCAGTGATATTAAATACATTGGTATTGCCCTGGCCAGTGTGGCTCAGTTGGTTGAGTGTCATCCCATGCACCTAGAGTTCACTAGTTTGATTCCTGTTCAGAGCACATGCCTGGGTTACATGCAGGAGGCAGCCAATCAATGTTTCCCTCTCCCTCTCCCTCCTATTTCTCTAAAATCAATTAAAAAAATTTTTTTTTAAAAATTGTTGTGTACCACTCACAGTTTTAAATCTCTTGTATTTAAAGATAGGCCCCTAGTTCCTTTTCCCTCCCAACATCTCCTTCATTTGACAAAGCAAATATTCCAGAATACCTGTGTTTAACTGGTGTAGTATATTTAGAGCACAAATCTTGGCTACAAATCAGTGACGACAAGTAGTGACAAGGAGAGCTATGTTGGGACCTAACTGCCCACAAGTTGGTGCATGGTCACAGAATTCAGGCTGATGTCATCACCATGGCTTATCAAAACCAACACCAACTTTAGACATATTTACTTCTATGGTTGAGGAATGGAGTGTGTAGGTGGCCAAACAGAGGGGGAAAGGAGTTGTAAATAATGAACACTTTACTATGATAATGAACATAACTTTAAAGGCAACCAAGATTCTGAATTTTTCCCAACTGTCATTTGAGTTCCAGGTTCTTGAGTTTGCTCTATCACACTATTTCCTGGGAAAAAAATGCAGTTAAGTCATGAATAAAATGCTTATTCATACAGTTAACCAAACTTATAGTTGTCTTTTTTTTAAGTAGATGAGATAGTAGTGTGTCTTTTATCTTAAAACTTTTATTTAATATCATGAACTCAGTGACCTTAGGAAGAATTTAGATCAATTCTGAGCATCGTAGCCTACGATGGCCAAACTTACTTTCTTAAGACAGACGGTATTTGGAAAGTCTTATTTAATTTCAGTTAATACCTGCATTCAAACAATATCTATTGGTTTGCATTATTTTATCAGGCATTTTGTTAATTTGGTTCTCATAAAATAATTGAACTTAAAAAAATTTAACGTGATTGATTATATCGAAGAGGAGAAATTCAAGATTTGCAAAATAGGTACTTTTAAAACTAAAGCAAATGGGTCTATCATCTGCTTTATGCCCTATTGGAATTAACTCTCCAAATATCAGTAAAAAGCTGGAATTATTTCAAAGGAAAGAAACTGGCAAAACTGTTTTCTTAATAAGTGAGAGAATTATAAGAATGAAAACACTAGAACTTAGTGAATTGAATTTTCAGTGTATTAATGTTAAAGTGAGAGATCATAGTCTATACTTTTTTTTTCTTAACTCTGGGTAAAATATAGATGTCCTGTTAGCTTTACTAATCTAATAATATAAACTCCCTCCTTAGAAGGACCCTGAGTATATCTTCTCTTGGAAGTTTATCATGATTATAATAATATTCCATTGTTACTGCTAGAAAACTTAGGAGAGAAGAGAGTAAGAAAACACCTCAACTGCTACAAGATCCCACCACATATATACTTAAATTTAGGTTATCTGTGGTGCAAATAAGAGCTTTTGTACTTTTTCTTTTTCCCAGAAACTTCACAAAAGCAAGATGTGAAATTGAAAATACAGTGGAAACCGATGTCATCATGTCTATGATCCTTCGCCCTGTTTATGTTTAATTTGCCATCATTCAGAATTAGCCAGTTAACTCGGCATGCAATCTGTTTCATGTTTATTATTATTATTATTATTATCTTATTTTTTTTATGAACCACAGTCACCTAATAGTTTAGTTATTTGACATGATAGCCAAGATTCCGGAAGCAGGCATACCCTTAGGGTGTTGTATGAGTGCTTTTGTAAAGCAAGGCATTCCCCCAACAGGTAGAGTGTGGCAAATACTGAAGCTCTCTTAAAAACAGTAAATATAAAGTAACTCTCAACATTGTGAAAAGTGAGGTCTGAGGAACAGAATTTCTCATTTACAACTTTGGGACTGGATAAAAGCAGCCTTAGAAATGTTTGCCTTTAACCCTAAACCAGCACACTCCCTGCTTGGTCCCCACAGATGCAGACAGCAATGCTTTGGTTCCAGAAGATAGTTCACAATGTAGATGTAACTGTATTTTTTAATTAAAGGAATCCCTGATATATTTTGACAAACAAAATTTGCCTGAAATATACTATATGTGCCAGGTTATTTTACAGAAATAATCCTGTGTTATAGTATTAAAATGTTCTGTTCACTTGCTAATTTTCACTTCCTATAAATTTCAGAATATAGTTTCTGAAATGATTGGGGGAATGATTAACTGTGTGAATTGGCATTATAGGGAAAATCTTCTATAACTTGCTTTTATAAGAATTGAGGTTATTTAGCATTCTTTACACTTTTTATTATACTACAATACATTTTAGGCACTGTGGAAGGGATGTTAAGTACAAGACTTATGAAAACTTGGTCAGAGTTATAATCTGTTCAGAGAACCAGAGTTGCCACATTTATGAGTAAAACAATTAGAGAACAATACAAGATCGAATGCCATTAATGCCTTTGATTCTGAGGAAAAAAAAGCCCATTTAAACTTGCCAGAGTAGGCTTCTAGTAGGTGGTGAGATGGCATAACTTGAACTCAGGGCTGATAGCGAGTGGCCCAAGAAGCCAGCCAGAGAAATAAAGTGTGCACACTGGAAACACGGGAAAAATGGTTTGAAAAGGCTTATGGGGCCAAATTGAGGTAGTTCAGATGAACATAGGATGAAATTTGTGTTCTTTTGCCAGTAGGCCGTACAACCTCTTTTTTTTTTTTTTAAACAGGGGAGAGGATTTTTATTTTTATTTTCTTTAATCCTTTATTGTTTAAAGTATTACATATGTCTCCTTTTTCCCCCATTGAAGAGGATTTTTAAAAGGTTGGCAGTGCAATAGTGTGTGGGTAGATTCGGGCTGGAAAAGGGAACGCGAGATCAGTCATGGCTTGCTTTGGCAGGCTGGGTAGGGCCTTAGGTCAGAGACAGTGGGAAGAGATGAGTCAGAGAAGGAAAGGTAAGAGAGAACTAATGCTATTAGAAATGGTCAATTTAAGGAGTGAGTGATTCGACAAGCATTTCTTACACATCTACTATGTCCTATTTACTGCGGTAAATTACCTCATTTAACTGCGTCCTGTAAAAGTACCACTATTTTCTACATCCTTCAGATGAATACCTCAAGTATAAAGTATATTAGAATTAGAATAATTTTGGATATCTGGCTCTGAGTTTATTTTCCATTTTTGTTGTTTATTATGAGCTTAGATGGAGGCCGTGAATTCTATTGCTAATCATGGCACTGGGTAAGTTATTTATCCTTCCGTCTGTAAGTGCGGCAGTAGGACTAATAAATATCCAATAATATTTATGTTATTCTCAGGTTTTCTTATTTGGGAGGATCATGGCTCAATGAATCAAAATGAGAAACTTAGGATTTGATTTTATTTTTGTAAGAATGGGGGATTCTGAGTGACTATTGCTTTCGGACACTATATAAGATAGTGGATTATCTGAGTGATATATCCAGGAAGCCAGTACAACTTGAAGACTGAGATAAATCAGAGCTAAAAAAAAATAAAAGGGGGGGGGACAGATTTTTTTTTTTAATTTTGAGTTTATCAGAGAGCCAAGAATTAAACAGTCCTTAAGCCAGTAGATTGGAAGAAATTCAGATGGTCTAGAGTTGTAGCATAACTGTGACTCATTGGCCTTTCTCTTTTGAAAAAGCTGGGAAGGTCAATGACTCAATTATGAGTTTCCACAGGTTCATTTTTCTGGGGTCCTCTCTGGGCTGTGTTGGGTCCTCCAGCCCTTTGGCCACACAGCACCCACCTTGCATTTCCCTGTCATAGTCTGAGTTACACTTCCTGGACC